AAGAAGAAGAAGTGGAGTGGAGATTTTGAGTTTTCTAGACCTGCTTTTTGTAGGCAAATTTTACACTACAAACCGCAAGGGGGGGGGGGGGGGGGAGCGGTTTTAGTCTGGCATGCAGCCCCCACCCTACAACCTCCTGCATGGCGACATGTCGGATGTCGGGTGACGAGGCACAAACCGCTGGGGGTGCGGTTTATGTGTCGACGCGGTGAACCGCTTCCCTGTGGAGCGTTTCACCATGTCGACACATAACCGCTCCCTGAGGAAGCGGTTTGTGCTAGGCCAGTCTTGAACACCGCTCCTTCGAAGAGCGTTTTTTCCAAAATAGACAAACCGCTTGTCGACCAGGCGGTTCAATGCTAAAACGCCGCCTGGGTGGGCGGTTTCTGTTTTAACCGCCCCTGAGTAGAGCGATTTTTAATAAACAATGATAAATTTGGAAATTCTTGAGAATGGGTGGTATTTTTGTAATTTCATTTTTAAAACAATGATAATTTTGTATTTTTTCTGAAATACAAGGTTTGAAGTTCGAATATATGTCGGCCTGTCTGGATTCCACAAATCCTTATTCCATACGGCTTTGCCCAAGTAATGATCAAATTACCAAATGGCGATAGGAACATGGGCTGAGGGAATCCAGCTGGTTTTGGTTGTTACTCTCTCTCTCTCTCTCACTCGATCTCGAACAGTTCACTACTATTTCTCATCAAAACAGATTCTTTTCCTTTTTTCCGAATACGTGTATATAGCAAGGAAAAGGACGAGATACGGCTGCGGTGGACGATATTAATGATGGCTTCTTCTTGTACAAGGTACACATATATTTGCTTTTGTAATGTTAATGTAATGGTACTGTACAACAAACCAAGCCTTTTGTTGCGGCCTGCGGGTTTTGGGTTAAGTTTAGTCACAAATGAGATGAGAGTTTTATCGTACTAAATTAAATTAAATACTATATATAAAAGCCAAGTTGAAAACTCAGAAGAATCACAGTTTTGACACTTGTCCAAACTCTCAGAAATAGCCCTACTATTTTCTGTTAATTACAACTTTGCCATCTTAAGTGCCACCATGGACTGCATGTCCGTCTATCCTTGGAGTTGGAGACTGCCGCCTGCTCGTATCTATTTTGTCAAGTTCCATGGCTGAATCTCGTTGCTTTCTCTTGCTTGCTGCCTCTTGATTATGATGAATTGAATGGTTCGCAACCCAAAATTCATCCTTGAGAACCAAAATCTGGTTAGAATTTTCTCAGCATGCAAATAAACAAAATACCTCCCCTCTCATCTGCCCTTCTTTCACTCAAAGGAACAATTAGAGACTATAATCAGAGCGACCGTATGTAGCTAGACAACTCTTATCCGTCCGTTGATTTCACCCGAATCTTGATTTCGGTTGCTAATTTCTTCTCTATCCCAAGAATAATTGGAGGGGTCGTTTGGATGAAGTATTTGGGTTCAAATAACTCACAATTAGTTATTTAGACACAAATAATTCGTTTGACAGTTTTTTACTTAAATGAGTTATTTGAATAGTGAGTTATTTGAAGTAACTCGTTTTACCACTCTACTTTTACCAAATATCACATGTCAAATACCACATTTGCATGGTTCAAAACTAGAGGGTCGTTTGGATGGAGTATTTGTATGAGTTATTTGGGTTCAAATAACTCACAATGAGTTATTTGGACGCAAATAACTCGTTTGGCAGCGTTTTACTGAAATGAGTTATTTGGACAGTGAGTTATTTACAAATAACTCAAAACGAGTTATTTGGAATAACTTATACTCATGATTTATTTCGAAATAACTCGTTTTATCACTATGCTTTTACCAAATACCACATTTGCATGGTTCAACCAAACGAGATACTTTATTTCTATTACCACTAAAATAACACTGAAATACCACATGACAATAAATGAGTTTTTTTACTCTACAAATACCACATTGACAATTGACCCATCCAAACGATCCCTAGATATTTTATTTCAATTACTAATGAAATGACACTGAAATACCACATAAACAATCAATGAGTTATTTGACTCTACAATTACTATATTTGACAATTAACTCATTCAAACGACCCGGATAAATACGCTAAAGAAAAATAGAAATAGAAGAGGAATGAAAGAAGAAAATAATAAGAGACAAGGGAAGTGCAGGGGCTCACGTTAAATGAAAAGCACATAGCCTCATAATTTGAGTTCTCACTATGTTGTGGAATCCATTGATGTTAATAGACTTCCATTTAAATCAAGAAATAATGGGGTTGTATCGTAATTATTATGAGAAATAATGAAACTAACGGGGGTGATGAATCTGGGTAATAGAAGCAAACGTAACACAAATCTATAAATGATTTTGGTTCTGAGTTTTTTATTTACACCTTAGAAAGATCCTACAAGTTTGTTAGAAGTTTGAACTTCTATAAAGATGCATATTTGTGAGAAAAATCATTATTAATGAAATGGAATCATGGAGTCTAATAAGACTTAGAATCTTGTAGAATTACCTTTTGGTTGTAGAGTCTTAGATAATATATTGATTGAATCGAAACATATTTGACATCTTTAATAATTATCTCATGAAATGAAGCCATAGGTAATAAATGATTTCTTAAAAGAAAACTGAAACCTGATGGTTTATTTTATGAGTACAATGATCGCCTAATAGCTAAGATTTTAGGCAAAGAGAAAAAAAGATTTCTTTTATATCTATTCACGCATATATAGAGTAAGATCCTTGTGTGTTCCGATTACTTTTGTTTTGCATCAAATGGATGTCAAAACTACTTTGTGAATGGTGATTGAGATAAAGAAATCTATATGGGACAACTAAATGATTGTTATTCCTGAACATGCTTTAGAAGTCTATGGTTCGACAAATCATGGTATGATTTGAAACAGACTCCAAAGAGCATGACATGATTCATATGGTTCTCTCTCATGGTTTTAAAAATGAAATGGACAAGTGCATTTAGTACAAATTGGAGAATGACACTTGCACTATGAATACATATTGATCTTTGATGCAAAGACTCATGATGCCAATAATATGAGAAAAGCATGTTTGAGAATATTGAATGTGAAAGATCTGGATGGAGCAAGAAGATCGAGATGACTAGGACAATGTAAAAGATTTTCTGCAGATCAGTTTAACTAAATAGTTAAGACCTAGAAGAAATACAGCTCTTACGATTGCATAAGTGTTTGACGATGGTAGTGTAAAATTTAAAGAACACTGGAAACAATGTAAGAAACTCAAACTAAAAAACTCAAAATATACTAGTTGTCCTAGTATTAAGCATTGGAATGATAATGAAGAGCTTTTGGGAGATAATATCAAAGGTTTTATGTTGTATTTAGAAGGGTATAATGATGCGGATTGGAAGACCCTATAAGTGCACTCCAAGACAACCAGTGGGTATGTTTTAAACATCATTGAAGGAGTTGTGTCTAGGACATTTAAGAAGTAACCAATCCTCGTTCAATCAACTAAAGAATCAGAAATGATAGAACTAGCAATCCCCACTGTACATAGTAAGCAGATTTTTGGATGGATATTGACGGAATGACTTTCTTATTATTCGTCCAAACGTGTTTTATTGAAACGTGCAGAATTATAGTTTAGTGACTGTTTTGTACTAAGTAACAAGTTGTGTGACCGTTTATGATAGTTAGCTACGAAAAAGGTTGTGTCCAAATAAAAAAACTTCGGCGTCTTTCATATAAATGGTGTTTGATCATTGTTGTTAAGTATAGAGCCAGAGAAATCAAAATAACGACCCAAGAAAGGAGAAGGGGGAAAAACCAATCAAACATAGAAAGGGGAATCCATGAGAAGAGCGGGAAACAACGATCAAAGAGAATGTAAACCGCTGGATGGGATGGACGCAGAGCAGCCAGCAGCCGCAATTCCTCCTCATTGTCGGCCACCGCCTCAGTTCGACTGCAACTTCGATTATTGCATATTCTCTAATTCCAAAACTTGAGAATATGCAGTCACACATCAGGGAGAAGCATCAGAGTCATAAGTTTCATTGCAATAAATGTAGATACTGCTTCTACACCAAACAACAACTGGAAAATCACTTGGCTGATGAGTGTCACTACCGCCTCCGTCATCGTCACCATCAGCTATACCCCGATAGAAAGTTGTGGCGTTGACGCTAGAATGATATGTATTTTGGTTTTCAACTAAAATCTTTAATTAAGTTAGTTGATGCTGCTACTGCTGCTGTCATCGATTGACGGTTGTTCGCAGAGTGGTATCTGTTCATGTTTTTAGTTATGATCTTTGATTAAGTTAGCTCCGACGATTACGCTATCGCCCTTGTCGATTGAGGGTGGTTGGTGGGAGTGGTATCTGTTTCCTTTCTTTTTATTTGTTGAAGATTAAAGATATAGATAAAATGTTAATAAAAAAAATCAAGAAAACTCTTTTTATTCTTCGTGTCCGGGGTTATGCCCTAATCATTAGATAAAATCTGAAGATGAAGAGAGAAACAAAGAAGATCACTACTTTATAAACCAAGAATTTGAGAGCAAGCATTCCAAATCTTCAAGTTTTTTTCTGAAAAAATAATTTTCTATTTATTATTTTTATTTCACATCATTTTGACACGAAGATACGAAGTAGTTTCTAGAAAAAAGAAAAAATAATTTAGATATTCATTTGAAACAAAAATCGAGTCTTGCATTGCCTAAAAAGATATTTTATTCCTTATGATAAACCTAATCAAATTAGATATGTTTCCTACCGCCAATTCGATGTTCGAGAGGGATGATAAGATCTTTTTTTAGTGAACTGAAAAGATTCTAGAATGAGAAAAACGAAGTGATATCATTTTATCGTGTTCATTTTTAATTTGAAATGACCTTTAATATTTGAGTTGAGAACTTTTATTCTAAGACGTATCTGATCTTCTCAATTGTTCGAATTTTGTTCTTTTTCAATTATGAATAAAACATGATTTATTGTAGGATAGTGAAAATCTTATTTAGATCTTAGAGAGCTTGCCAAACAAAGGCTAATAGAAAAAAGTAGAGAGAGATTAATGGTACAATATCTAAGATTGGATTTAAAAATGCATAGGTTTCGAGCTATTTTGTGGGGGAAAAATACCCGAAAAAAGTTATAATCAAGACAGATATACATTAAAGTAAAAAATTTTAAGCATAACAAATATTTTATTCTTGAAGATAATCGTGAGTTATTAATATGTTATTGATATAAAACTTGATCGAAAATTCAAGTAAGGTAGCCCCGAAAATCTTTCTTTTTAAAGTCAGAGAATTCACAATTCTTCAATTCTCAAATAAAAAAGAATAGAGTAAATTTAGTTTTCATACAATATCTTAATTGAATTCTATATTATGATCAATAAATTAAATCTATATCTACGCATATCAAAATACGAAAACCGAAGAAGCCATAAATGAAACCTAAGATAAAGAATCCTAACAAAGCAATCATAGTAAGTATAGCTGGCTATGTTTGAGAACGGGCACCCATAGTGCGAACAATATCTACTGCTAAAAATACCCGCAAAATTTGTAAAATTTAACCAAATTAAGTTGTGGGAGGAAAATAAAAGAAATGCAGTTTTGAGCCAATCTATGTGGGCTATATAACAAATTTTATGAGCACTTTGCATGTAATATTTTTCTGATATACTTTCGTATGTAATTTTTTTATATCCCCTCCCTCCCAATCAAGAATCTTGGCTCGGTCCCTATACATAGACCAAACATACTCGGTTTTGGAAGTGAGATGATTAGATGATCTAGATCATTAATAACAATTTTGTCTCCCCTCTTCCCATTAGTAAAAAAAACTTACGAAACTTATTAAGTTTTTAATTTAATGACATGATTCAACCCGAAATATATTAGTGTATTTAGGAAAATAAATTTAATAACTTAAATATTGTGGGAATAAATCCAAACAAATGAGTGTTTCTTTTTTCTTTGGCAAACGAATTTGATACCAAATTTCCTATAAAAAAAAATTGATATCACATAAATAATCTGCAGAACCCTAAACTTTACCCATCATTCCTTGAACTTTTGCCAAGAGATATGGAGCCCATGCCAATTTGTTTCAATTTTGAATTCACTCAGACAATGCCCTAAATGGACCAAGTATAGTTGGTTTTGGAAATGAGCTGAACAACACCATTAATGAGCCGCTAGCCTGTTAATTTAAAATATCGCCATTGGAATGGTGTACCCGAGGATAAAGCATGATAAAACTATTTATACCTTTTGGGTGTTCGTCGAAAGTCGATAGATGACCTACACAGAGATTGTTGACTACAGTAGTACTGTAAGCCTGCAAAACAAATGTACCCAAAAGTAAACAGCTGGTTTAAGGGAAATCTAAGGGTGAAATGCATACCAATTCATCATAAACAGCGGTAGAGTCAACTATAAAGCCTGGTAAGTAGGACTGAGAGACCATAGCACGATCCATGCTCTTCGCTGCATATTTGAAGAGGTATCTTATTAGTTCATTGTGTGCTAATAAAGACTGAAATGAAGGTAGCTACCTGGTCGGTCTGTGGAATCTTATTTTGGACTACTTTATTCGGGAATGGGGAATTATGTTCGGATTACTGCGGCTCACGTTAAATGTAAACATGTTGTATATGTTGATATGATTTGAACTATCTATCTGGTTTGCAATTGGGATCCATGGGTTTAGGTTCAGGTAATTACGCATAGTTGTTTAAGAAATTGTTTAAAACAACTGTAACATTAGAACTAATGTAATGGTTCTGTTAGAAGAGGGAATCATTAAACCATCCAAAAAAATGGATTTTACTCTAATTTCGTATGTGGTGGGGTTTGAAATTTTATTTTGTTTTAATTATTGTTGATATGATTTCTGAAATAGCATTAAAGGTTCCTTTTTTTTTTTTCAAAAAAATGGTAATCCACCAATTTGCTTGTCTCACAAATCCTCCTAACATTACTATATGGAGGTTCTTGGCCAGAACCCCCATAATCCCCTTTCCCAGCTCTATGCGCAGTCCATGGAGGGATAGTTTGGTAATTTCTTTCTGCATTTATCGACCGCATACTGGGACCAGGGACAATAAAGGACAGATAATTCTATTAGGTGAGCCTCCTATGTGGTTTGTTCCCAATTCCAGAAAGGATACGGATTAGGGATGGCAATGAGTCGGGTTGGGTCGGGTTTTGCCAAACCCAAACCCATGGGTTTATCTATGAAAAAAATTCGGGGTAAAACCCACTGGATTTGAAAAACTCAAACCCTACCCAACCCGCTGGGTATCCGCGGGTTCATGGGTACCCACGGGTTTTTGTCGTAAAAAAGTAACAATAACCAATTTCTATAAAAATTAAAGTCAAATATCAATTTCCCAATACAAATTATCCATATATAAAACACCACTCTAGAAAATTCAAGCAAATCACAAATTAACTATACAAATTGTTCAACATCAATCTAGAAACCTCAAAAAAATTGAAGCAAATCACAAATGATCCATAAATAACATGATTAATTGAAAGCATTTCCTTTTAATTAAGTTTTTCACTATCCACTCGATAACATCAACTTCATACTACATAACTAGAAAGAAAAAATTAGACATGTCTCCACAAACATAAATAAGATTAGTTGTTTAGAATATTAAATATGCCGAGAAAATTAATTATATGGGTGTGGCCTGTGGGCGGGTACCCATGGGTCGGGTTTACCTAAACCCAAACCCAACTCGGTGAATAGTGAACGGGTTTAAACCCAAACCCGGTCCAAAACCAGTCAACACGGATTTTAACTAAATGATTACAACTAATCAATCAATTACCTTAACCCCTAAACCTTCAATTTTGAACACCAACCCAAAATCCCAAAATGTGACCCTAACCCTAAATCCCTAAATCTGAAATCCTTCAAATCAAAGATATATTTAATGATTTCTTTTGTAAATTCATGGGGGTTCATGTCTATCATGTCACAAGTAATGATTGACATCGTTTTGACATGAATCGCTTATTCAAAATAGCGATTATGAGGCGGGTGCACTGAATGCACTAGGGGTGGGAAACGGTGCGGTCCAGACCAGACCATAGATACGGTCTGTGGTCCAGACCGAGAGGTTGGAACACAGACCATGGACCAGACCATATACTATACGGTTCAGACCAGACCACACCTGTGCGGTGCGGTGCGGTCCGGTACAGTCTGGACCAGACAGACCATATTAAAAAAAAATTAACTCTTGTTCGTTCTCCAACCCTTCGCCGGTATCTATAAGAAAAATCTAGTGACCAATATTGTAGTGAAACAAAAAAATTGTTATCATATTAAATGAGAAGAAATATGAGGATAGAAGTGGGCTTTTTCAATTTTCAAATAGCCTTATTTCCCTATTCCTCTTTGTGCTACCGCTTCTCTCCTCTCTCGAGTTAACAAAATTACGAATACAAAAGGTTTAAACTGATACAATTTGTACGACCATATATACTGTATTAAACAAAATATTTAATAACTATTCTTTATTCTTCTCCACCTATCCGGTTCATCCTAAGGCTTACTTCCTCCAATAATGTATATAAAAATACGATGGAGTGTGGAGTACATTGCTGGCAGTTGATGAACATATATGAGTAGTATGCAATAGAAATTTATTTACTTATGTGACCACATTGAGTTAATTAACAATAACTATGGTGTCTTATGGTGTCTTATTATGTTGGTGGTCAGTTTGAGCCTCTAGGGGTTTTGGGTTGTAATAAGTGAACAAATATTTTTACACTTTTGAGAAATTACAAGTTATTCAGGCAACAAACAATTACAGATTAAAAAAAAATGTTTATCAAGTTCAAATATTACATAGAGTTTGGTGATTACATCGCAAATTCCATAATCATTGATGGAATGAGGCAATATCCTTTGTTGTGAAGCATCTATGGATGACGAATGTAGCGGAGTTTATGATGAAAATTGTTGATTAAGAGGTGCTAACGATTATTTTTGCAACTATAATGAGGAAAATTCTTTTAGTAAAATTGATATCGTTATTTGTTAATTCACATGACATTGACATATAATCTTAGCACAAATATAATAGAATTGGAGTTACTGAAATTTAAACTTTGAAACTTTATTAGTTAGTATCATCATAGTGCAACCGTCAACGGGCCGGGGTACAATCTAGTTATTAACATAGGTACATAAGGCTGGTAATATTTTTTAAAAATTGGTTGTTGATTCTTAATGACCCCTGTTTTTATTTTTAATATTCTTCGGTTACTAACAATTTCCCACTCTCCATAATGTTAAGTGATTTTTAACAATTCCTTAAGTATCATTCGTCCGTGTATTGATCATTAACGGTGTTGCTTATCCATAGTTTGGTTATTGATTATTTACGATTTAGTGTGTTGTTTATCAAAGATTGATTAAGTGATTATTAACCACTTGGAAGCACGTATCATTAACATTGGATAATGAAAATATTAACAGTGGATAGCTTCAGCGTTAAAACTGAACGGATGCATGGTTAACAGTGGCTATGAACCCTAGGTGTATGTTCTACTACTAATCGCATATTGTCTGAAAATCAACACTCGTTACTACTTGAAGCACAGAAAACCCGAGGAAGTAAATGACACCTTGGATTAGTCTCAACTAGTTGACGCTAATGAGGAGGACCAAGAAGTGTAGAGAACATTGCATAAGATTGCGTTTTCAAATGAAACTCAGCACATTCCATTAATTTAGTAACGTCAATTCCCTTTTTCATACCATTTTCCTTTTTTTAGTTAACGTTGACAACCATCAATATTGAGTTTGCCTTTGTTGATTTGAATATCTTCATCTGTCTATATATATAAACCTAATAGTTGCAATGTACTTAAGCAACTTCTTAAATATCGGGTGTAAACACTTGATCTAACTCGAGGTCGTGCTAGTCTCATGGTTACACTTTGATTTTCTGATCTCAACCTATTTTATTTATCTTTTCTTTAGAACTTAGAAACTAGATGTGTCTATATAAACCTTATAATCTCTAGTTTGTTGACTCCTTGCCCTCTTCTCTTCTCTTCTCTTCTCTTCTCTTCTCCTCCAAACGTTTGCACTGGTGAATATCTTTTACCGACCATCCTACCTTCTTCTTTCGTCCATTATTTCATACTCTTCCCCCTATTGTTTGGTTGATTACAAGAGTGCAAGAACAAAGAACATTATGAGAGATTTAAAAAAATTACTTGTTTTGCTTTTTGTTGACAAAAAGATTCAATTCAACAACAAATGACTCATACGAAACGAACCCGTATGCTATCATTCCCAAATACACCCAATCACTTTACTCATTCACACCCTCACAGGCACAGCTCATCAATTTTGTACTAAAATCTTTGAGCCAAAATCACGATCCAACTAACCCTGAAATGATTAGAAATCATTAGTAGATAAGCAAAAACCTGCTAGCTAGCTGCTGTAGCTTCTACAAATTTTGGGACTTCCCAAAGGCCAGAAAGAACAAGTCCCCTTCCCTTCCCCTTCACTAATCTCATCTTCTTCTCCAAATTTCCCCAACCCCCCAAAAAAGCCAGCACAGCTCCCACTAAAAACTACACATATACTACAATAAACTCACTGATTCACACACTCCCCCAAGCAAAGCTCCCTCACTTCCACTCTCTCTCTCTCTCTCTCTCTCTCTCCACACAATGTCACCACCACTAATTCTCGTCCTCCTCCTCCTCTGCTCCGCCTCCGCCACCGCCTCCGCAGCCGGCAAATCCACCACCACACCCGCCGCCGCCGCTCCAGCTACCACCCCAACCTCTTCCCCGGTCACCGTCCCTCCTCCCAAGACCATCCCATCTCCTTCCACTTCAACTCACTCCACACTCGACCCAAAGCAGCTCCGAGCCCTGCAGTCGCTCAGCATTCCCACGGCCAAAGACCCCTGCGCCCAGCCTTCCCCTCACAACGCCACACTCTGCGACGCCGCCTCCCCATTCCGCCACGTCGTCTCCCTCCACCTCTCCAACTGCTCCGACGACGTTTCCCTCTCCTTCACCGCCCTCAAGTCCCTCTCCACCCTCCACACTCTCTCCTTCACCGACTGCCCCATTACCCCTATCCGCTTCCCTTCAGATCTCGCCCTCGCCCTCCGCTCTTTCTCTTGTGCGCATTCTCTCAAACGCCTCACGGGCGTCTGGCTCTCCCACTTCGCCAACCTCACCGACCTCACCGTAACCGATGTCCCCGTCACCGCCAGCGGGCTCTACGTCGTCATCGGGAATATGCGCGAGCTCCGGTCGCTCACCATCACGAATGCGAATCTCACGGGCTCGATTCCGAAGCATTTGGTGGAGAATCTCACCCATGTGGATCTTTCGGGTAACAGGCTTAAGGGTAGGATACCCAGTTCAATTGCAATCCTCGAGAATCTAGAAAGCCTCAATCTCTCCTCCAATTCGCTCGCCGGGGAGCTGCCGGCGAACTTCGGGGACTTGATTTCGCTGAAGAATGTGTCGCTGGCGTCCAATTCGTTGTCCGGGTCCATCCCGGATTCCATTTCGGCTATTCCAGGTTTGGAGCATCTCGATCTGAGTTCGAACCAGTTCAATGGCACAATCCCCAAGTTCTTGACCGACATGAAGCATCTCAAGCACTTGAATCTCGCCAACAACGGCTTCCACGGCATTTTGCCGTTCAATGCCTCGTTTCTCAAGAGATTGGAGGTCTTCAAAATCAGGGGTAACGACAATTTGTGCTACAACCGTACGAGCTTGCCGTCCAAGTTGAAGCTAGGGATTGCTCAGTGCGACAAGCACGGATTGCCCATGTCCCCGCCGCCGTCGAAGGATCTGACTTCAGGGGGTGACGACGACTCGTCGGATTACGACGATGGAGACGACGACGGATCGAGTAGCAAGAAAGAGAGTCATCATGGGCCGAATAAGGTTGTACTAGGCCTTGCGATTGCCCTCTCTTCCATTGTTTTCCTCATTGTTTTCCTTATTCTTCTGTCCAAGAGATGCACCTGAGAAACCCAAACAAAAAAAAAAAAAACGTATTACCACTGTAATTTTCCCCCTTTTGTGTTTGTCTGTTTAGAACTGTTAGATCAGGGGAAGATTTGTTAATTGGATACTATGTTTTGTCTGTGCTAATTTTCACTATTTGTTGATTAATTAATGTATACGTTGAGAAAGAACAAAATCGACATGAAATGGAAGGGTCTTGAACAGAGACTGGTCATGGGATTGTTCCGTAGAACAGTGGAATGTTTCTCTGTTCTCAGTTACTGTCTTACTGGAGTGTTGAGTTATTGGGAAAATTAGCTGTAAATTCTCTCATATAATGAGAAGGATTGGATCTATAGAGTTGACTGTTGTTGATTTCTCCAGCACCAGACCTTGACCCTTGTTGTTATTTTTAGTCAAAGGAACATTAAGACCATTTGCTCTCTCCTGTCCAAATCTGGCAATTATGCTTATGTGACCGATCAGCGTATATCAACACTGTTGGTTTAGCCTCCAGCAATTTTTCAATCGTTCAATCGAGCTTGGTGACATTTGCTGCTGCACTAATTCGATAGCTGAGAGAGCACGTTCGAGATGATCCAACGATCCAGCGCGCCAGCTTGATAAGTCATATTAAGATTGACTATCATGAAAGGCGGATAGATAATGATATTATGACTACTACTAGTACTAATCACTTCTCTGCAAGTTCTCTGCAATTGCAGTTTTTCGTTCTCCATGAAACTGCACATGTATTTTCCAAGATCTTTGGGGGAGATTGCTTCTCTGTGAGCGGAGCTGGAAGCTAGGGCAATTTCTTTTTAGTGTTCACAATGTGGGCTCAACCAACCTTTAAGATGTAGCTGTGGGTGTAATCAAATAAGTAGCAGTTAAGGTATGATATGATATAACAGCTAGCCAGGCTCCCACACCTTATAATTGGAGTTTTATGAGTGCAAGCAACAAAACCAAATCATAAGTGGCACTTCCAACAACCAATGTCATGATGTTTACGAATTTTTCTTATTTTACTACAATTGGGTTCCATCATTATTACATACCATGTGATGAATTCTTGGGCACCTCCCAACCACCAGCAAATCCTCTGCCACTTTGGTACAGAAAGTGAACCTGCAGATCCTGTGAAAAATGAAAGCTCTGTATGTGTTCATAGTTCGAAATAGGGAGAATCAGTTTTGAATAGTTTGATTGCTCTGCTCTGCAACTTCTGAGCCTGGTGTTCAATCATTTCCACAGGAATAGGCATTATCTATCAACCTTAGGGGGCACCTGGTTGAGTACATGCAATCATGTATCTTGTACACTGAACTATAAGAATGTAACGTTGAAAGATCATCTTTGATTTATACGGATGGTAATGCTGCACCTCAGACAAACTCGATGCATCGTCGAGATTTCTGAACACATGATAACATGTGCCTCGAAAATGCATTGGGCTGATATACATGATTCTTGTACTAGATTTAGACTACTGCAAAAATGATGAATTATCAACAACCAAGGAACTTTCACTGGTTATCAAATGGCCCATGCCTACCAGAAACCTCTGCAGGAACAAGATCCATCCTTGAAATGGTGGAAAAAATTGGAATCTCGCAAGATAATCTCCCTCCCTGTAGTCTTGGACATGAACTTAGCCATCTCGTGACAATCCCTGCAAACTCTCAAGTTCTTCATTACACTTACCGTCTTCCCAGGTGGCAAGTTCAGGATCCCAAACCCCATGGCTAACTTCTCACTGTGCCCACACAGAGCCATTTCCTTCTCCAGATCATCTCCATTCATCATGGCGTATCTAAGCTTAGGAGAGAAACCTTCTTTCTTCATTCCTTCCCTTACCTTCCTCAACAGAGCCTCAATCTTTCTGACTTCCGGGTGTGAACCATCTTTAGCAACAAACACATGAACTTTCCCCTTAACCTCTATCCAGCTACAACCTGGATGCTTCTTTAAACCCCGTCGACCAATTTTCACTCTCAGCTTCTTCACTTCCTCCCATTTCTCTGCCTCTGCGTATATATTTGCTAACAGAACATAGTATCCTGCATTCTCTGGTTCTAATTCAAATACATGTTCTGCAACTCTCTCGGCTAATTTCACGTCATGGTGAATCCTACATCCACAAAGCAAAGCTCCCCAGATTGTGGCGTCCGGTTTTATTGGCATCCCCTTGATGAACTCATAGGCCATCTGTAGCTTCCCACTCCGGGATAGAAGATCCACCATGCAGGCATAATGCTCTAAACTCGGCTCTATCTTGCATTCCTTCTGCATGATGTTGAAGAATCTCCACCCTTCATTGACTAACCCGGAATGGCTGCAAGCATACAAAACCGATATGAATGAGACTCCATCCGGTTTAATTCCCTCTCGCCTCATTTCTTCAAATGCTCTGATCGCTTCCTTTCCAAATCCATGCATTCCATAACCAGCGATCATCACGGTCCATGAGACGAGATCTTTAGAAGGAATCATCGTATCAAATAGTGACCTTGCAAGAACAAGTGCACCGCACTTAATGTACATGTCGACAAGTGCATTGGCGATGTGTCGATCATCAGAGAGGTGATGCCCATTTCTTAGTACGTAACAGTGGATCTGTCTTCCCATGTTTAGAGCTGATAAGCTGGCGCAAGCTGGGAGAATGCACGATATAGTCCTACCATCTGGTTCCCATTTTCCGCTTACCATTGTGGCCAAGTGATGAACCGCTTCATTTGGCAGATCATTTTTGGTGTACCCTCCTATGATTGTGTTCCATGAGATGATGTCCTTTACCGGCATCTGGGAGAAGACCAAGCTCGCGTCTTCCATGCTTCCACATTTCGCATACATGTCCATCAGGGCGTTGCAGACAAATAAGTTCGGTTCTAGCCCTTGCTCCGTGATGTAATTATGGACACTTTTGCCGGATTCCAATGAGCCTGAAGAAGCACAAGCATGAAGAACAGCAGAGAGCGTGAAAATATCCGGTTTAGTACCCGAACTCGTCATTTCATGGAACAATCTGATGGCGTCATGAAAAAGACCTGATCGAGAATAGGCTTGGATCATGGAAGTCCAAGATACCACGCTTTGTTCGGAAGTCTTCTCAAAGACTCTACTGGCTGCAGCCAAATCGCCACATTTGGAATACATGTCCAACAGTATGTTGCAGAACTTGGTTTCTTTGTTAAAATGGAGCTTTATCCCAAAAGAGTGAACTGATCTACCGAGAGAAAGATCACTGCAACTCGCACAAGCCGAGAGAACAATAACTGCTGAGGCCAAATCGATCTCGACTCCTGAAGATACCATTAGTTTGAAAACCTCAAGCCCTTCCTCTGAACCACCATTAGCCACGTACCCACTGATCATGGAGTTCCAAGAAACGACATCTCTTTGAGGCAATTCATCGAACAGCTTCCGTGCACTCTCCACCCTCCCTACCTTCGCGTAAAAAGATAATAAAGAATTAACAACGCTGCAATTGCAAGCAGCGAGATCCAATTTCAGCAAGTACCCATGAAGCCACTCGCCGTTCTTCACACTCTCTGAAGCGGCAAAGCATTTCAATATGCATGAGAAAGTGTAGGAGTCCGCTGCAATCCCTGCATTCAACATCTTCTGAAATAGATATACACATTCTGCAAAGTCTTCGACTTTGGCGTACTCGTTAATCATTAGATTCCAAAGGAAGACCTTCTCATTTACAACCTGGTCAAAAACCAATCTCCCTTGCCTTAGTTCCCCGCAGCTTACGTACATAAATACAAGCCTCGTCCCTAAAATGCCATTAATCTGAACGTCGTTACAGGAAATGACCGAATGAACTTCTTTGCCATCTTGCAGAGACTTGAGCTCGGCACAGAGCTGCAAAACTGCACAGTAAGTGCTCGATGAAATGCTGGGTTTTTCCGACAGGCGGAACCATTCCATGGCTTTCTTCAGATTGCTCATCTCACAAAATTGGCATATCTTCGCGTTGAAATCCACAAATTCATTATCTTTGGGATCGGCAAACGATTTGGGGACCGGAATCGTTGCATAAGAGCAGGTCAGAGTGGATGATACCAGAGCTGGTTCTGCGATTGGGTTGTGGAAAGTGAATGAATTCCTAAATTTGATTCGATTTTGGCCATGGGTACTTTGCCAAGGAGAGACGAAGCAGTTTGCAGATGCAATCACGGCCATGGAAAAGCCACCATGAAAGTTGAAGGCGGAAAATTTCCAACGGACAATTAGCTAAGAAATGGAAGTGGGAGTGTGTTGAACTCGGAACCCAGAGAAAAACAGAAACACCCTCAACGGCTTCCGTCGGGTACAAAACAAGCGCGTGTTTAGCACGCGTTTTGATCAAGTCGTGGCCTTAATGAGTTTCAAGGAGTGAAAACAGAGCCACTAGTCGCTTCAGGTGACGATACTTCAATCCCTGGGACATTGGGAGTCCATTTCTGTTCACAAATCTTCAGAATCGGGAACCCAAGTTCTAAAATTAATGAATGGACGCAGCAGCTTCTTATTCCTCTGGCGGCCCTGCAATTCGCCTTCCCCCATTCTCATCGTCCGAATGCGTCAGGCTTCAGAAGATTTCCTTTTACTCTGCATCTTCGAAAGGTATTCTGTTGGATTTCTGCCCCTATAATGAACTAACTAATGATATACCAACTCGATTAGTTCATTCCTTGATGAAGTTTGGTTGAGTGGAAGGTGATGGGTCTTTCGCATTTGCTTCTCCAAAAGTTCTGGGCTCAGGCAATAGAATAAGCAGCAGCAGGATCAGCAAGAAACATGAGAGGAAAGCAACCAATTCGTCACGAGAAAAGGAGATTATAGCCCTTTTCAGACGGATACGGATTGCAATCTCTTCAACAGAATCCAATGGAAGCGCCGAGGACGCCACATCGCAGAAGAAAAGTGCAACAATCAACTCCGTTTCAGGTGAAAATGAAATCTTTTCAGAAAGTGAATTCACTGCCTTTCTCATCCCCTTTGGTTCTTTTGACTTGTCATAATCAGTGGAAACGCCACAACTCCATTAGTACAAGCAAGGCACTGTAAAGTTTGTCTAACATCTGCAGGGAAGGCTAAGAACAAGGAGAAAGTGAAGCAGGGGGAAACAAGGCGGAAGCAAGGAATGCTGGAGAAGCAGGTTTCACAAAGCACTGTGCAAGGGGGAATAGCAGAGTTCAAGACGAATCGACCACCAACTAACTTCATGAGAAGGTCGCCAATACCATCTACGTCGGCTCCCAGGGTAATGGATAATGAGCTCGATGATGGAAACTCAGCAACACAAGAAGGTGACAAGTTGGAAAACCAAAAACTAGAGCAAATGAAGCTGGCTCAGCTGAAGGAACTGGCCAAGTCAAGGGGAGTGAAAGGGTACTCCAAGTTGAAGTAAAGAGAGCTTGTTGAATTCCTGAAATACAGCAACTGTTAAAAGTTAACACTAACTGTCGAGATTTTTCAGACCAATGTACCTACCATTCTTGGATTGAGTTGCTAAATATACGTCATAATTTGACAACCCGAATGTATTGATGGTCCAAACAAAAGAGGTAATGTAACACTTGAACTGCCAGCGATTCAAAATCTCTCCCAGAATATTCAAAACTTTCAAATCTCAGGAAGCCTGTGAAAAGGAAATACAGCTATCCCAAATTTGAGCAGATCAGTGAAGAAATGACTTAAGATCCGATGTTTTGGGCCTTGTTAAGAATAACTCCTTCATATTTGACCTGGAACCACTTCATGGCATCTTCCTTTGTAACTCTGTGTTGAATCCCAACGCGTGCCTTGCACCTGCGGCGACGGGCCACTCTGTATCCCGGGCGCTCAAGGACAACAAAGAAGTCCATACCATAAATACCAGTTGATGGATCATATCTGCATGATATAAGGAAGAACAGAATCAGTTATGAGACAAGGTCTAATTAGCAGGGAACAACTTAAACAAGAAAGAAGATGAGCAAGACATTGTAACTACGATAGTAACAACATGAAGAAACAGACTAACAAGATAACCTAATAGCAGTAGGAATCTGACACTATTCATATCAAAAGAAAAGTTAAAAAATAACTATTGGCCCAATGAGAATGATTTGCACAGCTTGTCTATATAATGCCCTAATAGGTAATTCAATTGTTGAAGCCCAGTGCCATTACCAATAGGCCAACTATGTCATGCAATTTTGAGAAGTGGATTAGTAGCAGAACATAGTGATTTCATAAATCAAGTTGGTACTCCAGGCAGCCTTGCAATTGTCTACACTCAAGATTTGCTTGATGAAAGCTACTCAACAACAATGCATTTACAGCTTGACTGATTCTTTCTGTAACTGTTCACAGCCCTTAACTTCTAAAAGGGGCATGAAACAGTAAACATAAGATTAGACGGACGAGACTCACTTGATTCCAAGATCAATATGCTCCTGGATACCGAAACCAAAGCATCCAGTGTCGCTGAAGTTCCTCCTCAGGAGCTCATACTCCTTCACCTTCAGACCGCTCTCCAGCAGCTGCATTGCCTTGTCGCCCCTCACGGTCACATAGCAAGCTATTTTCTCATTACGCCTGATCCCAAAAGACCTAACAGTATACCTAGCTGCAAAAACCCAATTCGTTTTACCTCTCATTAAAACCCCACCACAACAAATACAAATCAAGAAGAACTCCCAATCATATATTGCTATTAAAATCCTAACTTAAAGCATACCCTTGGAATACACTGGGGTTTGTCCGCTGAGTTGCTCCAGCACCTGCGAGTAAGATAAACGAATATATATATATGATTAAGCAGGAACAGAAGAGGAAACCGCTAAGAGACTAGAGCAAGCGAAAGCTGGCAGAAAGAAAGCAAACCTTTGCGGCACGGGTGAGACGATCGCCGCTTTCTCCAACGGAGATGTTGAGTACCAACTTCTGGACTTTGATTTCCCTCATGGGGTTGGAAAGCTTCTTATCGTCAACCTAAAGTAACCAGGCATTTCGACCAGAGAGAATGAGAATAATACAGCATATCCAAAAGCAGGTAAAGAGACACCAATCAAACAAGAGAACCAGAGGAAGAGCGATACCATTTTGACGGCGATGAGAATGGGAGTGCACAACGGGGAAGGAAGAGAAGAATGTGATGTCTCTTTGCCGCCGACGCCGAGACCCTAAGAACTGAGAAGTTGAAAAGGAATTATATGAAAATGGGGGCGGCTAGGGTTAGGGTTTTCATTGTGGGCCGGCCCAACATGGAACTTTGAAGTGGGCCTAATAAAAGGATCAGAAAAAAGGTAAAAAATTTCGGATTTCCGTTGCCGGGACTTGAACCCGGGTCTTTCGGGTGAGAGCCGAATATCCTGACCAACTAGACTACAACGGATTTATTGTAGATGTAGATTAATCATATTAAATACATCTTTTGATTTAGTTTAATATCCAAACAGCCAGATCACATTGTGCAGTCGCTTTCCGAACAACCACTTTACATCACAGCATTGAACATACTCGATCTGGATTGCAGGTACCTTTTTTGCCAATTCAGTAAAAAGATCCTTCCAGCGGGAAAAGAACAGAGAAGTAAGTGAAAAGAAGACCACATTAGCATTCAACCAAACTTCTATATACCAACTATCATGTGGTTCTGAGATTGCGCGAGTATCTGAGTTTCCACTTTCCATGTGTTAAATAGCAAAGTAAAGGAAAAGAACAAAAGCAGGTTGTTCAAGCACTCTATACTGCCGTATGTAGCGAAAACAAACTACCAACTGAAGTGTTGTTGCCTAGGCTATACACAAATTCCCCACAGGAGACCAAAAGAAATATCAATTTCTCCAGCTCTTCCCAGCCTCCGACCAGAGAATTCCCAGCTTCAATGAGATTGGTAATCCATGGCGGCCCCCCTCCGCACAGCTGGCTCAGAACATATTTACACGGAAGAACCATGGCAGCACGAAGGCGATTACGAGGCACGCCATCAGGAAGTTGCAGAATGGTTGTCCTCTCCAACATCCTCCACCTCTCTCCGACGAATTCCCGCCACCTCCGTGCAGAAATCGCCTGTTGTTCCACTCCTCCAGGAAACGGTTGTCCCCTACGATTCCTGATATGTTCTTCGCTGTCTCCCCACAGATTTCGCACACTCTGCAAATATGAGAACTAGAGATGAGTTTCTTATTTCCATAATTTCTATCAATGCAGCAGCTAAGTTCATCTGTCAATATGACATTGCTTTAAGTTCATGAAGTTGACAGCATCCTGACTGAAGTTCTGGCATTAGATGTAGCTACATTTGAACTCATACCTTCAAAGAAATGGCAGAAGATAACGGCAACAAGAGATAAAGCCAAAGACTGGTTTCCTGAACATTATGCAAATTTCAATGCTGTAGAACTTGGTACGATTGAAAATCATTATAGTACTAAAAAACAGCAGCTTGGAAGATAAACAAGAGGCAAGAAACCATATCAGGCAAACGAATTATGTGACAGAGGTCTCATATAACACTTCCTGGGTTCAAACAATACATGAGAGATGAGACCCTAAAATCTCCCATTTGTGAGAATGCCAACTACAGTATATGACAAGAGAGCATAATCTGTTTACCTGTTTCCTTTGAGCCTGAACCAGGCTTCGGCACAGTGAGAATGTGAAACACCGAGCTCATCTTTACATCCACAACCGAGCTGGATGAGCTCCATGGAAGTCACAGTCACATCAGGCCCTGCAGTGGGGACTTCAATCGACCCATCAGAACTCAAATGACAAATTCTGCAAACCTTCTCCCTGTCACAGTTATCCTTCAAATTCCCAACATCACACTTCACATCAATCACGCATGAAGTCTTCTTCTCCCCCTTCGGCACTATCGCCTTCAAGTTATCCGCCGCGTTAGCCTTGTTGCTCTTGACAACAAAGCTTTCCCCATTATCAACGGAGCTTTCCATTGAAATTACCGTCTCAGGCACAACTCTATCTCCGTGCGCATTGTGGTTCCCGCCGCTTCCTTGGCCGCCTTTATCCAATGCCTCGCTTTCTCCATGCCCACCACCTGTTTGCTGGTTTGTCGCAACCACAGTGAGCCGCAAGTCGTCGCCTTTCGCTTCCAAATTCCTGTTTTCTCCACTGACGCTCGCCGACAAGCTGCTGGAATCTACCACCGCCGAGCTCTGTAGCTCGACAACATGAACTGAATCAGTAAGATTCCGACTAACCCCCTCTCCCCCGGCTCCTTCTTCTTTACCAATCGCTGCCTTCCCCGAATCTAATGATTCCTTGCCCATCTCCAAAGCAACCCCATTGCCAGAATTTTGACCTGTTCCTCCCTTCTTTGGATCCATTTCTACAATCTTTTTCACCGTCTCCGGACAAAACTGCTGGAAGCAAAATCTGACCCAGAAAATGAATTTTACTTCCCTTCACGGAAGAAACCCCACGTCTGCGAGGAATTTTCCGCCGTCGTGGTCGTCATACAGCTGATCTTGTCACAGGCAACTGACCACATCATAAAATTTCCAAAACAATGCAAAAGGATAAGAAAGAAGGAAACTTGGGCGAACGAAACGGAGAAGGCAGGGTCTTGGTTTTGGTTTCGGCGTTACCTACTCCGTATCAAACTCCCTCCAAGCTATTTTCTCCAGGTATTAGCTTTTCTGTGAATGAAGAAAGAATCAGGCGCTTACTAGAGAGAGAGACTATCTTTTTTTCCCCCCCGAGAATAATTCCTCCTCTGATGGAGAAAGACTATTATAAAGCCTTGAGAATGGAGAAATTAAAAACAGCAAGTGGGAACAACAATGATAGATAGATGGACAGAGCTAATTGCCAACTTGTCTCGATTGTATAATCTTAAAATTCCCAAGAGACAGAATTTATTGTGTGAAGGTGACTCTCTAGTCTCTACATGTTACAGTACTCCCCTTATCTTCAAATACTTCTAATAGTCTAAAAGTGATTACAAAATAATTAACAATAAGTATTCGTAATATGCTTTGCTATTCGTCGCCCTACTCTTTACTAACCGTCGCTCTAAATTGATGTAAAAATTCTTCAATGCTCTTAATGAATCTCGTATTCATGTTATGAAAATATGATATTTATGCTGAGAATATGATATTTATGTTATGAGAATGTGATATTCATTAAGGGCATTTAGGACTTTTTACATCAATTTATGGCGACGATTAGTAAAATTTGGGCGATGAATAACAATCCTCTTTGTAATACTTATTATGAAAATGAATATATTAAAAAAATGTAAAATTTGCATATATTTGTTAAGATTTATTTATGAACTTATTGTGAATTTATTTGCAAACAATATAACGTATATGCATCCAAATGAAAAAACCCTACTAGATGATAAGAAAATGAATCACTTCATGTATGTAGAGTTATCTTGATTGAGCCACATACATCATGTGGATTATGGAATTGTTCTTCTTCGTCTTCCACTATTTTACATGATATCAAATAATTACATGCTAATTTGATTTAAACTCAAAGCGATAATGAACTATTTGCACTAACAATAATCACATTTGGTACTCATAAAAAGGAAATATGTGCCGAACAGTTTCCTCTTTGTATGAAACTTGTACCATTTCAAATTGATATACTATATACATTATTCTCAATCGAGTATAGGAAATACAAGAGAAGAATGTTATTATTGTTATTTATGTATATCGTGACAACAGGTGAAGGAATTGCAACGTAGTTAACCTCTATTAATTAAGTGGATAAGGACTGATAATTTTCTTAAAAGGGTGGGTTAATCTTCCGACGGTATATATTAATTAGGATTAGAGATGGGGATACCAATGAATTAACGGAACGGCAATCAATGGCGTGTGGGATGTGAAGAAGGAGATATTTATATCTTTTAGAGCAAAAAATGAAGATTCAACAAGCACGCAGGGTGCCATACCCAGAAGGCAAACGCAAAACCATCGCTGGCTGCGCGGTGTGGTTGTTGGTTTTGGACTTGTCGCTTGTCGTCGTCACTATTAGCAGCGGCAGCTACGGCCCCACCTCACCCTCTTCTTCAGTTCTTCTTCTTCTTCTTCGTTGTGAATGTGATGAGATGAGATGAGAGAGAGACGGGGTTGGTCGACATTCTTCGCTTTGCCAAATGCCAATCTCTCTCACCCTTCACCTTCGTTTGAAGGACATCTTCTTTTCTTGTACCACCTTCGATTAAGATATCTTAACATTGGCAACCAACAAAATTCATTGTCCTTTTCCATATGGAAACATGTGAGTTAATATTGCAACATATATAACAAAAGAAACTAGTCAAGCTCACAATTTTGTGTATGGTGGGACGAAATGATGGGGAAATAAACAGTAAAAGATGATAGGAGGTTTTTTGTTTTACTCGGGAGCATCTATAAGTATACATCGCTTGAGTGATGGTGGAGCGAGATCAAATTTGGGGGTTCACCTGCTCGAGCCGTTTTGGGCTTTTCACTAAGATCCCCTTTTAGTGTCTTCGGGAACACCACAACTGGCCTCGACGTGAGTTGAACACGCGGAACTCACATTTCCCTGTCGAGGGTCTCTCGAGAATTTCACCGGTTGGGCTATGTGACATTTGGCAAAAGATGATGGAGTTGAAAGTGGACTAGTTGAATTCCTTCAATAAAAAATTGGTGGATTTATGAATTGTTGAAAATTCATAATTTTGAACCTATATATTTAATATTTTTCAATTTGATAAGTAAATTTCAATTTTTAATGAAATTTTCAAAATTTTATGTTTTGGTAAATAAAATTTGTATATTGACATTTCCGTGTCTGAACTGCAAAATTTTAATTGTCTTACTCACGAAATCAACGTGCTACGAAAATTGTAAAACTGTGTCGTAGTGAGGTTGTACTGAAAAAGTCAACGATATGACATTTATATTAAAATCGTGGTTCAACCGTGGTTCCATCTATTGGTTTAGCCTCCGGTAAAACTTTTTTCTAGCCGAACCGTTGGTAAAGTACGTTTTTACAAATACCGGTGCTAAACTATATAATATGATCGCCAACCAAAAGAGGAGTTTCAAAGAGAGGAATCAAGTGGCGATGTAAATTTACTAATTTAGAAATAACCACCAATATTATAGATAACCATCCCTATAAAATAAATAAAAAGATTGAAAACGCCAAATATTCATCGTGAAAATGTATGGCAACATAATGTAACTACTAACTAGAGATACAAATTAATTTCCAAACGCTTACAAGGAACAAAATAGTTTATTTGCGCTTTGTAATTTTGTCTTCTTGGTCGAATATCGGTCACTTTCCAATTCCAGCAAACGTCGGTCGTGGTCCTCCTCACTACACACTATTATTTTTCAAATATTTGACATCGTTTATGTCAACTTTGGAAATATGGTACCAACAGAAACCTTTTTGCAGTCCTCCCAACTCTTTGTAATAATCTTGCCAAAATACGCTTCTAATACGATTTATAATTCTTAAATTTTGCTCTAGGGTTTCATTATCTTGTTTATGATGATTTTGAGTGGGCTCGTGGAAATTACTTTTTCGCAATTTATTCTGTGCTGGTACTATTTGGTCTTTGAGTAGCATTGGAGAAAAAGGTGGGATTTTTTTCTGCCCTATCGTATCTCATCTTGTCTTGTTATTAATCCGTTGCATCTCAATCTTCATTAATATATTCATATGTGTTGTTTTCACTCCTCTATAGACTTGTGATCAGTACAAGCCTTCATTTCTTAAATAATTTAAACTTTCAATTATATAAAAAATCTTTTTGGTTGAGAAAACATTTTTCCTTTATGGGTCGTTTGGATGGATGAATTGAAAAGCGAGACAGTTTGGTTAGCTGTCTCATTTTATAAAATGAGTCCTTTAAAACGAGTTAATTCGAATTGTCTGCCCCCACCCCAGACAATTGTAATTACCTCAAAACAAGTCAATTTGAAATTTCTCAAGTTTAATTTGCTTCATTCAAATTTTGTGCTGACAAACGATCAATTTGGCCAAATTGTCTCATAATGAAACAATTTGTTCAAATTGATCCGTTAGAATTCCTCATCCACATGACCCCTTACCTTTTCATATAGTAATTATTTTCTCCTAATCACATGTCGGAATGACTCGCCTTACATTTAGGGGTGAGCATCGGTCCGGAACCGGATTGAATTGAGATAGGATCAAACAAAAAAACAAAGGAAAACGAGGATCAGAACGGGTCCAACTTCAATTTCGTTCCATTTTTTTTTTTCATACTCAAAATAATTATTTGGATCAAAACGACAAAACCGAGTCCAAAAATATTCAATCTGATCCAATTCGGTCCAAATATTGATTTGGTCTGATTGTATCTGATGTGAACCAAATTATTGCCTACCCCTACTTACACACGAACATATGTCTGACGTCAATATTACTCAAACAAACTTGATCTAAACATGAAATTGATTGTTACGAGACGAGCGATAGTAATAATTCGGGCAATTTCTGGGCTCATTTATTTTAATATTTATTAATTGTAAAGTATTTAGTTAGTATTTTGGGATATTATTATTGTTTTCTAGTCTTAGTAGGATTCAGATTGTCTTTTGGTATTTTTTTTTTTTTGGATTTGGTTGTGGTGTACTTGTAGGAGAAGGTTGCATGTTATGGGTAGGAATATGGAAGGGTGGACCGAAACCATATGGGAGGAGGAGAGGATTTTGTGTCTATAAATATGTAATGCCTCATTCAATGAATGGTATGAAGAAGATTGGAACCCAAATCTAGTTTATTGTCTTTCTTTTTATCTCAATTTATCGCATTTTATAATAGCTTGTTAATTTTATCGCAAGAAAGTTACGAGACAAGAATTCTTCCATTCTGTGTCTGTTAACACTGATACAACGATCATATGACTATTGAGATATTCGCCAGTCCTTCCACCGGCCACTCTATCCCTCTCAAACCCTTACCCACATAGAGGACCATTCCATTCGTCGTCATTCCATTGTGTTGTGGATGGCTTGGGAAGTGGGGCAAATAGTAGCGACAGATTAGGAGGGCGTCCACATCCCCCTGAAAGTTGAAAAGTGCAAAACACAACAGTTGAATCTCATTAGCAGTAGTAGTTGTGATAGAGACAGAGCAGTACGATCTTTCCCAGAACTTAAAACAAGGCAGGCCTCCAATCTAATTTCTCTTGTGCCCAATAATTGATCATAGGACCAATTGGGTAAGAAAGAGGGTTTCCAGTGATCCTTATCCCCATTAAGACTATTAACCCCACTTACAAGGTTTCTCTTTTTCCAAATTCTGTTTTTGCAGAGTACTTAACTGTACAATTTCTTGTTCTTTTGTCGACATGAATAAACTGCTTTTCTACCAGAAACCCGAAAAGGAAATGGACAAGGGAATTCTGGGTTTTGGTTGGATCTAGTAGTTTTGTCTTACTTTCTTTAGAAGTTCGCTTAATTTTAGAGATTTGACAAGAACATTCATATTTCACCCCAAATTATGTCTCGTAATTAAGGGTTGAATTGTTTCTTATGATCATATGGATTGCTTTCTTGTTTTGTCGATGAGGAATTTGTCTAAAGTGTTACGATATAGCTGCAAGAGAAATCATTAATCAATAATTTGAGGTTGATGAATACCAATTTTTGTTTTTTGTTTTTTTATTGATAATACCCACTACGGTTGCATCAAGGTCGAAAGATTTAAATATATTCCAACCTAAATTTACAAAATCAACATATATCTACTTAAATTATTGTTGTTATTATTGGGTTAATGAGTAATGACCTGCATTATATTTTCACATGTGAAAAAATTGTCATGCAAATCAGTTGGCTTGAAAATAAAAAGATTATTATCATAATGCCAAGATCATCCATTAAGTACCTTATCTCTGTCGCCTCTCTCGAAAAACTAGAAAGCAAAAGGCTTGTATGCTAACTCCGTGATCTAGTACTTTTGTCACAGGTTCCATGCCTTGGATAAGCTATCTTTGTGTAACAACCCTAACCATGACTGAGTCAAAATCTTCTTCCTCCACGACCAATGGTACATCATCAAAAATATTTTGTATTTTGTATCTTCATCTCCATCCCTTTAGGGATAGGAATGATAGGTTGATGAGCATCTTTGGGAAACACTCTCTCACGTTCCTAACCCAACCCCTTCCTTCGTAGAGCTGTGTATTGTAAGTGATCCGAACCTGCCTGGAGCGAGCCTCCCATAGAGGCAAGTGAAGTTGGTGAGCCGTATGATGGGCAACTATCTCCTGCGGTTCGGAGAGGACTCAGCTGTTAGTTAGTACCCGCTTGGTTTCGGGATGGACTCTTTCACTCTATTTTATGGTTTTCGCATTGATGCCTCCTTTGAATTCAGCTCAGACTCCATTTCTACTGTCGATGCTCACTTACTAACTGGCTTTCTTATATTCAATGCCTGACGTATCTTAAGCCTCTATTATTACTTTCTCCTACCTCTCTATGCAACTCAATCATATATTGAAGGCTGAGTTAATTGAGATCAAACTTATCAAAATTGTCAGCTATAAAGAAAACATACCCTTGCCCTAATCGTGGGAGGCTGATTAGGATTTCAAGAAGAAAAGACTCCAGCTTTAGGAAACCTCAACATAGAAAACTCCCACTTAGGAAAATCAGAATCACAGGATAACAAACCTCGTACTCGCATAAGGCAAATTAAGGAAAGTAGCACATCTATATAATCAGGACAACCGTGCTAGAGGTTTTCATTTCGAAATCGGATATCACCGGTTCACAAACCCTATTCCGAAGCGAACACAAGGTCTCGCCTACTCTTCGAAACTTTTACTAAATGAGAGAAAGCTGTATGTACAGTTTTAACAATGGATTCTTCGTCAAATGTCGTGTGATGACGGATGATGACACAACAACAACTCAGACCGAGTTGGTTTGTCCATCTCGCATGAAATTTACATTGTAATGTTGTAATGGAAAGTTATATTTGTATGGTATAGTTGCAACAAAATATAATTAGATGGTCCTTTGTACAACCAATCTAGAACTGGTTGACAAGTGCTGAAAACCCTAATTATTCTTAGTGGGCCTTTGGTGATAGAAGCCCAAAAAGTAACGTGCCTCTTAGGCATTGCATTACATTACATTAAGTGCTTGGCTTCTCTACTCATGCTCTGCTGTCTAATTTGAGTTCTTTAACAGGCATAATTGAATTTTAAATTTTGCAGCACCGCTTTAAAAGATGGAATATCACTTCTAAGCATGTGAATGTGAGGACTGATTGGAATCCAAAGCAAAGCAGAAAATGTAGTAGTTTTTAGTGGAAAGAAGCTGAAGCTGAAGCTGAGCAGGGAGGCAGAGTAGTCTAACAACTCTTAAGTTTTCTTTTGGATCGTTTGGATTAGGAAGCAGGGGAAGAGTAAGACGCATAATTGGAAAATTTCCAGTTTTTCCTTATTCATTCGTATTGACGAGAACTAATAAGTAAAATTTCATTCAGTTTTGCCCTTTACAAACAAAAATCATGTAGAACCGACTCTTAACGTATCTCACCCAAATTTGGCGCATGTGTACATGTTACAGTATGTATCACAACAACTATTCTTACTGGAAAGCTTACCTGTATTAGTCAACAACTGACACACTAATGTGAATCAGCCATATATTCGATACCCCATTTACCAATAGAAAGCCGATGCTTGAGCTTGTGCCTTGTGGGAGCTAAGACCATCTCCATCCAATTGCTTATTGCTATTGCTTATTGGGTGGAATCCTATGTGGCAATAGCTTTAAGCAATTGCAAGGATGTAGCACTTCTTTCTTATTTAGCAAGATTGCTAAATAAGCAATCCCCTTTGCAATGCCACATAAGCAATTGGGACCCACACATTCATGCACTCAAATTCTTTCTTTTTTGTTTCTTTCTTTTCTATCCACTTTGTACACATAAAATGTATTGTTAAGGAAAAGAATATGTAATAGGTCCCATCAATTGCAATTGCTAACCTATTGCAGGGATGTAGGTGGTTTGAAATGGTTGAATTGAATAGTTGCTAAAGTTGGTGATGTGGATGTGGGGTCCATTTATGAAATGGCTAACCTATTGCAGGGATGGAGATGGTCTTAATTAAGGTGCTATATTACACCCTGGACAGAGCAAAAACCCTCTATTAGAGAAATGATTAAGGTGCTTCAGAGAAGAAAAGGGAATTGAACTGTCTGCCAGCGCAAGGTTTCCTTTGACCATATGCCTGATTTTATCAAACATTATATGCTGAAAACTACAGTGTTTCAATTGCAACTTTCCCTAACAATCCTTTGACCTGCGACCATTTTGTACACGGCAATCCGCAAGCGACAAGGATTGCTATTACTGCAGAAAAAATTCATTTACATCTCTATCTAAGAAAAACGGAGGGGAAAACAAAATGTGTCACCTGAGTCATCTTGGTCCGGAAAGCTCCATTGCTTCAATGATAAACGAAGATGCTTCATGGATACCACTATGCTGCTGCCTAGAGAAACTGAAAGGCCTTGCCTCGTACATGTTCGACCCTCCAGCTTGTGCCTCCTCGACACCCGAGTGTCCTACGAGGCCTTCAAGTACCTTCAAGACTTCTGACATCTTCGGACGTAGAGTAGGATGCGACTGAGTGCATTGCAGCGCCAATTCGATGGCCTGTTCTAACTCCGATGGATCGAAACATCCCTTCAAATCCTTATCTATCAGCATTTCCAACTTCTTCTCCTCATGTAAGGTTTTCACCTGCATAATGTAGCAGTCATGGAGTTGGTCGTTAGAATCCTTAATGAGTTTGCTTGAACAGGAAGTAAAAAAGAAGATAAAAGAAGATAAACTTGAGCCAAAAGCAAGCATTGTTTTACCCAGTCAAGGATCATTCCTTTCTGGACCTGACCATTTCCAGCATCCAGTGCCTTTTGGCCTGTTATGAGCTCCAGAAGCAGTATCCCAAACCCAAAGACATCGGTTTTTTCAGAGGATTGGCCGGTTGAGAGATACTCCGGAGCAATGTGACCAATTGTGCCACGTACTGCTGTGGTGACATGGGAATCCCTTCGATCCAACAGCTTGGCAAGTCCGAAATCTCCAACCACAGCTTCGAAGCTCTCGTCGAGTAGTATGTTTGCAGCTTTAACGTCTCTGTGGATTATACGAGGATTGCACTGCTCGTGCAAGTAGAGCAGTCCACGAGCTGCACCAAGGGCGATTCGGAGTCTCCTGTTCCAGTTCAAACATGGGATTTCCCCACCAGTCTCTGGACCACACAGAAGAAAGCCAAAGCTAAGGATATATGAATCAAAGGGTAAAAAGAACACAAGATGGGTCTCTGAACGAACTTGGGTAAATAGTTCAAATATAGCACTTTAACCCATAATTACGTTCTAAAAGCAATTGGGCAGGAACATAAATGAGAGGGAGTTTTGTTCGAGGACAGACCTCTCAGGCGGTCAGCAACACTTCCATTTGGCATGTAAGGATAAACAAGCATCCTCTCCTCGGGAGTCATACAGAAGCCATACAACCTCAATAGGTTTCTATGCAAGGCCAAACCGATCATTTCAACCTCGGTTTGGAACTGCATTTCCCCAGTGAAGTTAGGATCCTTCAGCCTCTTGACCGCCACAAGTGTCTTGTTTGGCAGACACCCTCTGTAGACAACACCAAACCCACCTTGACCAAGCACGTTCCTTCTACTAAAGTTTCCTGTAGCAACTTGCAGCTCTCGAAATGAGAATCGCTTTAGATGACCAATCTCAAAATCGTAGTCCTGCTGCACTGCAAAGCACAACCACGCACAAAAGTTATCAGACATCATATATGCTTAATAGCCATTCTCTATATGAAGATAACAAAGAAAGGAGAATCCAGTTTGGGGAAGGGAGGTACCGCATGAAGTAGAGAGTAGACGGGTTCTATACCAATACACCAAGCAAACAAGCAGGACCAGTGAAACTACAAATGCACAACTGAAGCCCAATACAACTGACATCACCCAATGATGATGGCCATTGTTGACCTTGGGGGATCCAACTGTTGCTGCATGGAAACTTGTTTAAGCACTTTTTGCAGCGTTTAGCACTGATAGTCAGAAACAAGTTTCGAGTAGATTATTACCATTTATTGGCTTGGAAACACTTGAACAGCCCTTTGTTGGAGATGGACCGCAGAGAAGGCTGTTCCCAGCAATGCTGTGAGAAAAGGACTCGAATGTTACATCAAAATAGCTGTGAGTGTTACACCAAACTTAAAGGTAGACAAGTGAAGAGTTTTAGTACCTATAGTCTTTAGCTAGTATCCTTGGAGTCGGTCCACTGAGATTATTATATGATAAGTCCCTGCACATAGTGTTATGGTTAGACAAGTCTGCTGGAAAGTTTTTTCATATCATCTACTTGGAATAAAATGCAGCTAGATGGGAATGGGATTCATACAAGAATGACAGTTCTGTGAGATTGGCAACCGGTCCAGGAATTTGTCCTGATAACCTGTTTCTACTCAAGCGCCTGAAAAGCTTGGCACATCAAAAGTTTTAAAATCCACAAGCCATTCACTGCTACAAATAAGAAACAATGATATGTTTTACGAAATCAACGACATATTTGTGGACCACGTTAACAATCAGGTCGACCACATTGCACTTTGACCCCCTCAATCAATCTAGTTGTTTGCATCGTATAAGCAATCGGGTCAATCATCTGTGTCATTATGGTCGCTGCGATTGCTTGCCATATGGTCAACCTAATTGATAAGGTTGCTGATCACAACAATTGGTAGATCGATTGACTGGTGTAAGGTGGTCGACCCAGTTGTCAATGTGATCAAACAATATGTTGTTGATTCCCTTCATGTGTAATTAAAGGAAGCAAAACAAGAAAAGGGCCAGACTCACAAGTAACTTAGCCTTGTCAATTGTCCCAAAGAGCTTGGGATGTTGCCTTCAAATTGGTTACCTGAGAGGTCAAGAGTTTGAAGCTCAGGCAGCTTTCCTATCTCAGCTGGGATCGACCCAGTTAACAGATTGTTCTGCAATAGCCTGCAGTTGAACTTTCAGACCGGGGAAAAGAGACCAAGAAAAAAAATTCCAGCCTCAAAAGAGTACATCATAACAAGTCAAAAGCAACTTTTTTACATTGTCCTCAGGTGACCTAAGTTGCCAATACTGGTGGATAACGTCCCTGCCAAACCAGTGCTTGCCATTTCCCTATTGAAAAAAAGGAAAAAGTTACACAACTTTTTTTACCCTTTTATGTCTTAGATAGATACTCCATCAGGTGCAACAACAAAAGAAGGTAAAGAAAAAGGAACCAATACTTACAGGGAAATGACAAAGCCTTCTGGGGAGCAACCGACCATGTTCCAAGTGCAGGGATCAACCGAGTTCAAATCCCAGCCGGCCATTACACCTGACTCGTCCCTCATCTCTTTCTTCATCGCCATCAACGCCGCCACTAATGAACAAACAAAGCACAGTACAGGGTTAAACCTAGGAGCCAAACTCTGTAATTTGATCTCGGGGATAATATATGAAAGCAACTAAGCTACACCACCTTCAAAGTTGACACCTTTGGGAGAAAGAATACTGCTGTCGGAGGCCCAAGCGAGAGCAGGAAGCCACAGTAGCAAGAAACGAAGCAGCAGTAGAGCCGCCATTACACATGCCAGCGAGCAGAGAAGAGAGGAGAGGGGAAAGAATCAAAGGGAGGGGAGATTTGGTGTCGGTAATATTATTATTATCTTCACTGCTCGACGTTGACTAATACCGCTACCGCCCAACCAGATTGCCGGACAGACAGAAACGATTGAAAGAAGCAGAAGCGGCAGCAGATGAGACGGTCTTAGGTGGTGATGTGACATTTTATTGATTAATTGATTTGAACTGAACAGAACAGAACAGGACAAGCAGTAGGTTAAAGCAGAGTTCTTTCTCGTCGCAACACTCCAACTGCTATTTTCTGGAATCTTTTTTTTTTATTATTACTACTTTGTTGTTTGGATTGCCTCGTAAGGGAACCATTCCACATTAGTCAAGACTTCAAAATTGCAGACTGTAGTGCCCTGTGGAAGGCAGCTGCCCCATCCCTTTCTTAATTATTGATTAGTTTAATCTCTTGGATTAAACAATGATGAAGATTGAGGGTTTTTCTTAAAAGAGCTCAAGAAAGTCTAGAGATTCGGGCAAATGACAGAGATGGTCTGCTTGTCTCTAGTTCCGCCACTAACTTAACCCTATGAATTCAATTCTCTATCATTCAATTCAATTTAATTGCTTTACCGGCCCCCAAGCTGCTGATTGATTGATTGCTTGCTTGCTTTACCACCCGCCGATTTCCACTACTTTGACCCCTCCACTCCACTCCACAGCTTTGCCTTGTTGCAGGAATCAACGCCATTGAGGATTTCAACACCAACAGCAACAGCAAGCCACCCACTACCTTGAAATTCCCGCCACATAGCGGGAAAACTCGGGACGAAATGACCCATTCAAAAAAGTCTCCATTTCGAAGTACACTAACCCTGTCCCCAAGCTGCTACTTTTGCAAGCCAGTCTATGTACTGCACAGCATAGATCATCAAGGAAACAGAAAAACAGCTACTAAACCTAAGAACACAAGTAGAAACAATAATAACGATTCATTACACTTTTGGGGACAAGACGTAGTGACAAATTGTTGCATATTATCAAGTCACTTGACAGAATAAGAAAAGATAGGAACAACGACAATGCAGGAAAGAAGCACAAAATACCAAAACAAAGGAACACCCGCCACCCCAACACACCCACCAATGACCAATCCCTTCTTCCACCACCTCCCGAGGGCCATCCCTAAATTCAGTGGCCTTTTCTCATCCTAGTTACAAGTACACTCTCTCTCAAAAGCTTTTTGTTTTACCTCAGCTGCTGCTGCTGCTGCTGCCCAGGCTATATAATGTAAAGAGTAACACCTCCAAGGCTATTTTTACTATCAGACATTTACAGACAGAAGAAAAAAGAACAGAAGAGAGCATACAAGTGAAAAAGGAGGAGATGATGACAGGGAGATGTGACGCGGAAAAAGAAATAACGTGGAGAAGAATGAAACATCACTAGCTTTCCTTTCGTTCAGCTGAGCGTCCACAGATGATCCTGTTCAGGTCTAGGAGGGAGGGGGGAAGAAGTGGTCCTGGGTTAGGCAGAGCTGTGCATATCATTTGTCAAAACATTGAAGATAATAAGCCCCCGCTGTGTTATCTCAGGGGTAAACCACCGGCAGATACACTACTGAATTCATTTCACCGCCCCGCTCCTAATCCATATTAGGTTCCGGCCATAAAGTTTAAGCCCATTTGCCTCTTGACGTGATCTGGGATCAACTTGTTAACCAGTTCAGGAGAAGCCCCATTTAGCTGGGTGGACACAGGAAAACAGATGATTGAATCATGAGTGAAAGCATTCAAGGGAAAAGGTACCAGCCACAGGATCCAAGTTCAGAATTACATAAGATCATACCTCCTGCTTGAAATTGAAGAGAGTTGGCACAGGCCGGCCATTTGGTAGGCGGACATTAGGATCTCTAAGCTCATCAAAGAAAGGATGAGCACATGCTTCCAACTGCAGGCTCAAAAGTAAAATCTTGTTAAGGATCTATACAATGTACATACTTCCAACATCATATGACCAAATCAAAGTGAACTCACAGCTGTACAGCGAAGACTTGGCGAATATTGCAACAGCCGAGAGGTAAGATCAATTGCCTCTGGAGGCATCCTTTTGTGGAACACCTGCCCCAAAAAGTATTTCAAAACCATAAGATCAAAGTGTCCAAGACAAAGGAGCATTGAGCAAGTCTCAAATAGATGCAGCACATTACAGAGGTCATAAATATAGCTAGGGAAACCAAGAACAAACCTTGTGCCAAGGGTGGGCTTTTATCTGGGGGAACCTAAAATCAGTATAATTAGGGTTCATGCAGCGAATTTCTTCTCGAGTCGGAGTGCCCAGAACCTAGAACAGGAAAGATGTATGAGAAAGCTTGCTTTTAGCACGTGAGACTTGCATACTAATTCTAGCTAGAGTAAGATGGAAAAGAAGTATACCTTAATAATCTCAACAAGCTGGTCCACCGCATTTTCTCCAGGAAACAATGGCTGCAAAGGTTTTGAATAATGAGAAGAGGTGAGACTAAATTCTAGATGGCAAAGTGCCAAAAGGAGCGCCTTCTAGAAGTATATATATGCACACATAAGCAATGCTTACCTGACCAAGAAGAAGCTCAGCAAGAACACAGCCAGCTGACCAAATATCAATTGATGTAGTGTACTCTGTGGCTCCAAATATAAGCTCAGGAGCTCGATAGAATCGAGAGCAGATGTAGGATATGTTTGCTTCACCTTTGACCTGAAGACATGCAATTAGGTTAATCCACAGAATCCATAATGAGAACATAAAACAAGCAACTCACACGCTAAACACTTGGAAGATTTAAGGGTTGCAATTATTAAAGAAAACTGGAAGTACAAAATAAGGGCAATAACATACCAGCACTTTTGCACTTCCAAAATCACAAAGCTTCACCTGGTGAGTGAGGGGATCAACCTGCAGGCAGAAAATAATGCACATAAGAAACTGCTATCCGCTGGCACAATGATTTAGTGGGTATAATAAGCTACGAGAACCTAAATAGCCTAATCAGCAAGCATACCAAAACGTTTTGAGGCTTCAAATCCCTGTGACAAACTCCAGTAACATTGTGAATATATGCCAATCCTCTGAAAATCTGTAACATGACTCACAGTTAACATCAAAACAAGCTTATTCTTTTAACCGAACAGCCTCAGATAGACGCACAACACATACCTGGTATGCGTAAAGTTTGACATAAATAAGTGGCATCGCCTGTTTGGCATTGCTGTAATGCTTTAGCACCCGATACATGCTTTCAGGTACATATTCCATGACCAAGTTGAGGAACAGCTCATTGTTGCTTGTTGTGGAGAAGAAGCAATGCTTCAAGGAAATCACATTGACGTGATCCATCACTCGCATCAGCTGTAATTCACGGTTCTTGTATCTTCTATCCTGTAGAACTTTCTTAATTGCCACGGTCTCCCCAGTCTCCAAGCATTTAGCCTAAACGTAGCCATCAAAGGTCAGCTTTTAAACCCATTGTGTATATCTAATACTTCCAAGTTCACAGATCTATATATATATGCATACCTGGAAAACAATACCAAACGATCCAGTCCCTACAACACGCTCTGCCATGTAACTGATGGTCTGTAACAACACAAAACAATGGTCCAACTCAGTCAGTTCCTAAAGGGGGAGAACAACATATTCAGCCCACATATAAATTCCTCCAATTACAAATAGTTACCTGCTTTGGTTCTCCATTTTTACCCCCAATTGTGGTCGAAATAATGTGCCCGGTGACTGGATCGTTGCCATGGGCAGAAATCTCCTACGAAACAGCAACGATACATCAATAACAGGAAGTTTCCTTTTCAAGAGCGCAAGGAATAAATTGGCATACAAAGGTAAGTAAGCCTTCCACACACAAAACAGCAGAGCAGGAAGAGGTCAAAAGTGGAATGGAAAAAACGAAACACAGGTAGCTTAAAGATGAATCTAGCTGAATATATGTTTTAAGCAAAGCCAACTCCATCTGGCGATCGGGAACCACATATAAAACCAGCCTGAACCATAGAGAAACAAGTGCGATGAAAAGCTCAGTTCACCGGGAAGTTGAAAGATAAGATCTCAGGCGACCAAGATAAGCTGAAAGATTCTAAAACCGGGGGGAGATTAGCCTGCTTGAAGCCAAATAGATATGAGTAGCCGCAGGAAGCGAAGGAGATCTAGATCCACTGACCCCAGAAATAGTAACCAAAGGAGAATTAGGGTTTCTTCGAGGCTGGAAAGGTGAAGGCGGAGCTTGCCAGGCGATTACAGACGAAGCAGATCTAAAAGAAAAAATTCTTCTTCCGTACCCAGTATAGGTGAGTGAACAGAAAAAGAAGCCTAGTAAGCTAAAGAGAAAATAAATCGAAGTAAACGGGAAGAAATCCAGAAGAAGAAAAAACTCCCAGCAGATGAACCTAGACCAAAAGAAATGCAGATGAGTATGGAAGAATTTCCTATTTGGAACCCTAACCAAGAAAGGTCGTAACAAGAGTAATCAACGCTAAACACAAGCAACTTCTGGAATCGAGAACTTTGAGCAGACAGTTGCGAGAAATGCTGTTTTCAGGCGAGAAGATGGAGAAATGCTGTTTTCAAGCGAGAAAACTAAACGGACGTGGCCGGGAGAGAGAGAGAGAGAGAGAGAGGGAATACCTTATCGTCGGCCGGAGCAGCCATGGCTGGCGAGATGGAGGGAGGGGGAGAGAGAGAGAAGGGAGTCGGCAGTCAATCAGTGGATAGCTTTAAGAGGGGAGATCATTGGAGGAGAGAGAGAGAGAGAGAGAGAGAGAGAGAGAGTTGTGTAGTGGTGACCCAAGGAGAGGAAGAAGATGAGATGAGAGAGAGAGAGAGAGAACGGAGGAGACAAGAAGAGGAAGAACAAGACCATGTGATTCCAGCTCTCCCCCCACCACCACCACCTTCCCTGCTTTTCTTCCCTCTTTTCTAATTTTTTATTTTGTTTATTTGTTTTCCCTTCTGTCCGATGAGAGAGAAAGAGAAGAGGAGGAGAGAGAGAATGATGATAAGAGTTTTCCCCTCTTCCTTCCCCTC